CAGTTGTTCAACATTTGCATTGAGCAGACCCTGTGGGAAAAGTTCTGGTGTTAGGCCGGTTACAAACTACAGAAGGGCTTTCCTGATAGCGGTTTAGATCATAATATTTAATGACACTTGACTACTCTTTGCAAGAAGAGGATCAGCAAGAACAAGATCTGCTTTTGTACAGCTAGACGGTATTTTAGTTGTTAGTGTTTGTCTCGGAAAGGCCAGTGCTCTGTCCTGCTAAGGAGTAGCTGGAGGAGCTTTAACAAATTGCACTGAGCTGGAAGCTGTCTCTGACAGAATGGCTTGTTGGTTAAAAGCAATATGGCATGTGTTCCCGTTTGTCTTGAACAGAAATCTGGCACAAGTGCGTGTGATTAGACCCTCCTGTGAGTATAACGCTCTGTTTTTCAGGTCCTATAGAAGTTAAAACAGATGAACACCCTCGACATGGGAGCAACTTGGAAACAATGGCAAAGTTAAAGCCCTGTTTCCTGACAGACGGAACTGGGACGGTGACAGCAGCTAATGCTTCAGGTTGGTCTGTCTGGCTGAAACTGATATGGAAAAGAACGGTAGCTGCTGCTTGTGGGTCAAGGCAGGGCCTCTGCGAGGGGTCGGCTGCCGTGTGGTTATTGCTGAATGTATTTTGCAGAAAACAGCAATGTGTTTGATGACATGGGTAGAACTCGAGTATAACTGTGGTGGAGGGTCTCTTTACAGAGGAGTCGTCTTTTGCTCGCTTGCTTTCTATGAAGCAATACAAGTCCTTGGATGGTAACAGCAGTATTTGATAGGCTGGAACCAAGAGAAACTGCATCCTCTTTTTAAAGCCAGCTGTCTAGTGGTTTCTAATGCTGCAGGTCTGGACAAAGGAAAACTTAACAATTCGTGTTACTCCTGTGGGACTAACTCTCCTGCCACAGGCAGCTTTGAAACTTCTTCCTTGGTCCTTGTGCTGGCTCTTCCAAAGTTGACCTAGTAAATTCGATGTGCTCCTTTTTCAGATTGTGTCTCAACTCTTCTGCCTGCCGCTTTCCAAATAGAAATCGTAAACGTGTCACAGTTACAGCGGTATAGATATGTTACCCATTTTAAGTGTTTGTGTCAGACTTGGCTGATCTGAAAAAAATACTGACCTAAACCAATAAATGATTTGTGATTTTTTTTTTTGTTTGTTTTTTTTGTCTAGATTGCGAACATGTGCAAGCAGGAAAAGGTGGTAGAGTAAAAGCCATAAAACCCAACAAATACCTAAAAGTTGTTTGTCATTCCACAGGTATAAATGATGGAGCTGCAGCTGTAATTCTAATGAAGAAGTCGGAAGCTGCTAGGAGAGGTCTTATGCCTTTGGCTCGGATTGTATCTTGGGCTCAGACAGGTATAGATCCATCTATAATGGGAGTAGGGCCCATTTCAGCAATAAAGAAAGCTGTAAGTAATTATCTCTCTATCTATCTATGTATCTATTACTTAAAAACTGTCTTGTAATCGCTTTTCATTTGCTGGCCAGGTCTTGTTTTTTCTATATTCTAAGGAAATCTTAGTAGAAAAAATAAACTAAGTGAAAACAAGACTTAAAATAGTGGAGAGTATATAAGATTAAGATCTCTAGTGCTACCAGGCTACTGCCTACTTATCAGAAGACAAATCCAAAACGTGTAGGTGTATGAATGGAGCTGAGAACATAAACTAGTCAGGTTTGTGAAGGGCCAGCTAGATAACCTAGGAGGCTAAAAATCAAATTTCATGGAAGCGTATACTAATCTAATTTGGGGATGATTTGTTTCTGCCATGATATGGTTCTGATGCCTGGCCAGGTTAATTCTGAGATCACTGCCTGACTGTATTTGCAATAGCACAACGCTGAGAGCAGGGCCAGTGAGCGCCTCTGCGTTAGCGAGCACGACACTGTGCCCTTTGTGTTTCGGTTTGCCCTGTGTAAGGATTGGAGCATGTAAACTGGATTCCTTTCAGATGAAACTAAACAAGAAGATGCACTCCAGAACCACATCCAACATGCTCAAACCGTTAACTGCACCCACTGGTGCACTCTGTGTTCAGTCCACAGGACAAGGCTCTCAAATAAAATGCCCTGGGGGAGCAGCTCCCGTGGTACCACACTGCTTGCTAATACAGACCCAGCCCAACTGATTCTTTGCTAGGACTGAGCTATGAAGCTGAGCGTGGAAAGAGCTCTTGCACAGCTGATAAGGATAGATTTGCTTTAGTTTTGCATCTTAGTTTTATTTGTACTGTGTAAAGGCCTTATTTTATTCGTCCTGGCAATGCAGAAGCCCAGCTGGAACTCTCCCAAGCTCTGTGGCTTCCAATGGGAAAATCAGAACTGTAATGCTGAAGCTTTTTCTTATCAGATCTCAAATTGTTCTTTTAAATCAAGAATGCTATAAATGTACATACAGGACACACTTGTAGTTTAAACTGTAGAACAGACAAGCTGTATTTAACAGTATCTATAATTTTGTAGGTACTCTGAAAAAGAGCACACTACCTCTTAATGTAAATTTTGTATGTTACCAAACACTTCACACCCTCCATACGTTATCAGTTTGTATCTTCAGAATTTCATAGTAGCACTTTATAGTGAGAGAACGACTAGGCCATGCATTTTATTGTTGCAATGACCTAGTACATCTTTAAAAGGTAAGTCTTTTCCCAGAAGGCAAACAGTTCCCATGCTGTCTCTACAGTATCTAGTAGAAAGAGGCCCTCCTCCTTGACCGTAGCCTTGGAGGTGTGCCAGCCTGGCTAGCTGGGTGTGAAACGTCAGTGCTGCAGATGATTCTGCTGATAAAGCATTGCTGTGAGAAACAGCGTGAATGGAAGTAAAAATGTCAATAGGCGAGGCATGTCTAAGCCTGTACCCGAGTAGGCAACTGCACCGCAAGAGTTTCTCAAGTGAAAACACGAGCCAAACCGCCTTCCAGAAGAGCTGCCTGTGAAACGCTTCAAGTGGCAACTTTCAGCTTAAAGGCAGGGGGGCTGGATGAAGGACACTGGACACCCATCACTAGTGCTTGTTTCACTATTTCCTGTGTAAAAAAATCTGTATTAAGCAGAGAATCTCTAATGGCATCACTTAGGTCCTGAAAGACTTGCTTTTAATCTGTTAAAACCTACTTTTCAAAACAGTGTTCATTCTGTTAAGGGCACCGCATGCGGTTTGATTCCCACAATTGCACCACCACTAGAATTGTGTAAAATTAGTCAAGCTTTTTTTTTAAGAGCAGCTGGCATGTTACAGCACCAGGTACTGACTTCCCAACGCTGAAATTTTGTCTGTTGTCTTCAAGAATTCCATCATCAACCCTGGCTATAAAAAATGTTTCCTTCAGCTTTTTAGAAGTGGTGGCTTCAAATCACCTAGTTTAAGGCTTCTGACAAGCTTCGTCTGGTGCTGAGGAAAACCTTAAAGATAATAAAGCCTCAATTTATTTTGTTTTCTCAGATTGACAAAGCCAGCTGGACTCTGGAACAAGTTGACCTGTTTGAAATTAATGAAGCCTTTGCATCGCTATCTGTTGCAATAGCAAAAGAACTGAAAGTAAATCCAGAAAAGGTAATGAATATATTTGAAGCCCTAATTAGTTTGCCTCCTGTAATTCAAAGTCGTTCTGTTCCATGCCTCTGGATTGTGTTCCAGAGAGGCGAGAACAGTCCTGTTGCAATTGCTTTGCTGTAAGCAAGAAGGATGGGAACCCCAGTAGGCATCTCCTCACGCTGCTCTGCTGTAGGCGCTTTGTAGAATCATTTGTTTGGAAAAGACCTTTAGGATCATTGAGCCCAACTGTACCAGTCTTTTAAACACCTCCAGGGCTGGGGACTCGACCACTTCCCTGGACAGCCCATTCCAGTGCCTGACAATCATTTCAGTGAAGAAATTTTTCCTAGTATCTAACCTAAACCTGCCCTGGGGCAACTTGAGGCCATTTTCTCTCATCCTATTGCTTATTACTTGAGAGAAGAGATGGACCCCCATCTTGCTACAGCCTCCTTTCAGGCAGTTGTAGAGGGCAGCAAGGTCTCCCCTGAGCCTCCTCTTCTCCAGGCTAAACAACCCCCGTTCCCTCAGCTGCTCCTCAGAAGCCTTATGCTCCAGACCCCTCACCAGCTCTGTTGCCCTTCGCTGGACACGCTCCAGTGCCTCAGTGGCACAGCTAGGCCTTGCTAGCAGGCACACCCCTTCCCAGCTGAAGGGGCTGGAACTGCCCACGCTATAGCAGGTGCCTATGCAACCCCAGGTAAGGGCTTGAGCATACCTGTAATTAACTTCAGAAGCTGAACTTGCTGCTGGAAGTGTATTTGCCACCGTATTCTTCCAGCAAGGGCAAGAAGTGCATGTTATTACTCCCCCCAGCCCCCGAATTCACCTCAATTATCACCTTATCTTCAGGGAGTAGAGATTGGGCCCCTTTCAGAAGAAATACTAATTAAACAGCTGTTGCATCCCTGTTCAGTTTCTCCTTGAAGCAGAGGTAGCAGTTTCAGGCTTACTCACAGACTGAAGTCACTCACATTGCAACTCAGCTAAGCTTGTTAAATGGTTTCTTAACTTGGCCCGCTATACTTTTTTTCAGATTAATATCCAAGGTGGAGCCATTGCCCTTGGCCACCCTCTTGGTGCCTCTGGTTGTCGCATCCTTGTTACTCTTCTACATGCACTGGAACGAACGGGTGGAAAACGCGGTGTTGCTGCTCTCTGTATAGGGGGCGGAATGGGAATAGCCATGTGTGTTGAGAGATGAACGTGACCGAATGACTACCTCGCGCTAACTAGCTTTGAAACGGTCTGCTAATAAACTTCTAATCATGGAGCTTACGGGGTTTTTTGTTTTGCCTCAAGTTAAATACGCTTACTCAATTACTTTCTGCTACTCAGTCACTGCCCTGACAGCAAGATGAGCAGCTACTGCGGGCACTCCAGTTGTTAACATGGGCTAGAGCTCCAATTCTCAAGCTAAGGACCAACCTTACTTTTGCAAACTAATTCGTTCACAAGAAAGTAGCAGCAGCATTCAACCACTAGTTTTATTAACATTTTAGTTACAAGAGTGAGAAGTGTAAGTTAGACAAACATAAATAAGACCCAAGTTATTCTTCAAGTGCTCCAGAGTGAACTGCATCCTCATAACACCCTCTCTCTTCCTTAGTTTCAGGGTGCAGTTTAATAAGATCATCAATTCGAAGAATAGTAATTGCAGCTTCTGTTGCAAACTTTAGGCTCTTCGTTTTGACCATAGTTGGTTCAAAGACACCGGCTTGCTTGTTATCGCGAGGTTTTCCATTGATCAAGTCAAGACCAATCCTGCAAAGAATAAATCCTGTCAGGTGGAGAGGTAGGAAAAAGAACTGCAGCTGGGAGCGTGCTGCTTGACTCCCACTAAGTCCCACTGACTGAAGGACACAGAAAGGGAAGTCACTGATAGCCTGTGTGCCCCCCCCCTTTTTTTTTTCATGTAAGTCACAGTTCAGTAAACTGGAGAACAATTTTCCATCCAAGTCACCAACCCACTCCACTTTTAATAGCCTTCCTAGAAACAGATACTTGCCATTTCAGATTCTTGCGATCTGGGTTAACTTGAGCCTCGTTGTGGAACGCTCTCAACTTTGCAACGAGGTCTGTCGCATCTTGAGCGGCATTTACTGCCAGTGTATTTGGAATTATTAAGAGGGATCTGGCAAATTCTGCTATCGCAAGTTGTTCACGTGATCCCTAGGAAGAGGAAAAAGGTTTTAAACCAACTACTGCAACAAAAGAGGAAAAAATACAGCCATGATTGAGAGTGTCAACAGTAAGCAGGGGTTTTCACATGCAAACCCTATTTTAGGCCAAAGAACCACATAGTCTAATTATCAGAGAAAGACTGACTCGTATCCTCCGTTTTAAAGAAGCATCGTACATTCTGTTAAGATGATTAGCTTTCATGAACCACAGAACTGACTTCTAGGAGAAGGAAGTAAATGCTTCAAAATTCACGTTGTCCTAGTTTAACACGTACGCATTGTTGCCTCTTCCTGCAAGACTTACCATGCTGGTCGCGTAATTTTCAAGGTATATAGAAAGTGCTGCCTCTACAGCACCACCACCTGGGACAACAGACTTGGATTCCAACACCCTTTTAACAACACAGAGAGCATCGTGTATAGATCGTTCCATTTCATCACACATGAAGTCATTAGCTCCTCGTAAGATAATTGATGCTGAAGTACGAGCCTTTGTACTATGGAAAAAAAGGAATCAGAAGTCAGGTGTGTTGAACGAAATCTAAGTTAAAACTCTTTCTTTCTGAAATTGTTCCTCTAAAGCCAAGTTCAGTTGAGCCAGACTCTTTCAACCTTTAAAAGAAAACCTTAACATTGCTATGCGCCCTTGCAGGGCATGTACATTCTGACTTACAGAGTCAGTTTTTAAGTTTTAATATGCAAGAACCTAGTTTGAGTTTAGTCTTTTAGAGAAAGCTACCTAACAAAAGTATGACAGACAAGATGTTTTCCCATCAAGTAAGGGGGAATGTCATTAGGTATTAGGAAAGTTCTCTTTTGCGTAGCCATCAAGTGAGCTAATGACTGCCAATGTTGCAGAAAAAGCAGTCATGTAATTGCCAGGCAAGTGCTGTGGTCAAAATACTTCATCTACACACAAACGGACTACAGGAAGTTGAACACTGAGAAGGGATACTGAAGCAGTGGAAAAGTTAATACTGTTCTTGTTAAACAAACTGATACTCCAGGTACTGGACAGCAGTGGCACACTAAAAACTTCCAAGGGAAAATGCCATGCGTGTGGACAGTTAATAGTTGTTGCTCTTCTTACCCATTAAAAAACCCTGAACACCTAAAACCTATTAACAACATGGTCCGTGTTACACTACCAAGCAGATCACTGATTAAAGGAACGCGATACAAATGCTGTAATAATGCCTCTAGCAATTTAGTAGAATTTTTTGTTAATCTTTGAAAAATTTGAACAAAACTTTAAGAAAAGTCTATCTAGCAATCTGACTGTCTCACACTATGGTCGATGAAACAGGTGCCCAGCCCCAGCAGAAGAGATTAAATACTGGTACTTTCAGCTCTGGTTTGTAGCAGACTTGCATGTTTTTCCCATGCACAAAACTATTCATACCACTGAGAAAGCATGGAAGTAAATAATAAATAAGGTTGTATCTTAAGCACAGTAGAAAGCGTACACAGAGTATTTTAAAAAGGATCCTTACTTCTTGATTAAGATCAGCTCATCATCACAGATTCTCTCTTGAATCACCTCTTCTGCCTGTCCCAGCATTAAAGCCTCAAAACTCTCTTCGCCTTCAAGGTTTGCAAGGGTCGAACATATGGTTGCTTTAACAAACAAATAAAAAAGTGAAATTAGTATTCAATTCCAGCACACCCTTTGCTGACTTCCCAGAACAGGCATACAGAAAAAAAACCCAAGAAACTGAAAACAGAAATAAAAGCAGTGTAAGTAGATTTGCACTTCTAATTTTCAATATTCTGCAGTTCATAATCAATACTGTGCTCTTCTTGCTCAAACTTTTACAGCACTTACTCTTCCACAGCTAGCACAAGTTCCTGTGCTTTACCATAATGAAAAGGCTTTCTTGCAAATTTAACAATTGACAGATAAATATCTGTATAGGACCAGAATTTTTTTCAGTACGTATTTAGTGGTTTAGAATTCTTAATTTTTCTTGAACTACCTAAACATGGGACTCAAATCAACTCTCCAGAGACTTACGAATGTGTGCTTAATAAACACTTGTGCACAAACACAGATTCTGACTCCCATTTCCGCAAGAAGAGAGTCTTCCCAGTGCAAGGCAGCACTTTTTTTCCCCACTTAAGTCTTCAGCAGTCAGCTCTTACGGTACTCATCTACTTTGACAGAATAACCACATAAAAGCAAAGGCTCAGCTCTACTCATCCTCTCCTTGCATGGCTTGCATGTTAAAAAGCCTCATTTTGAAAACTAGTTACTAATACCCTAACAACAGCTTTTACTTAAAAAAGCAGATATTTTTATATGTACATACCTCCGGATGCCTTAGCAATCCGCTTAAGGTCCTTTTTTACAACTCTTCGTACTGCCATAGCACCAGCATCAACAAAGTATTTCAGACACATGTCATCAATACCTCCAGTGGTGAGAATGACATTGGCACCAGTGGCCAAAATCTTCTGGATCCTTTCTTTGGTAATATCTGATTCTCTGCAAGGATAAAGTCAAAGTTATAAAAATGCATTTCAACGTCTGCAATCACATTCTGTCAACCATTTCCTGAACTCTTAAAGCAGAGCTCTGCAAGGAGAAGGAACCATCGCACAAACATACTTGGATTTCTCAAAAACTCACTTAATACTAGTTCTGCCTCCAGAAGACGACTTTTACCATTAATATTTGGTATTGTTGGGAAACATTAACATTTGAAACGTTTCTACCTCTTGTGCTCAGCCAAAATTACATCGAGGCACCTCAACCAAAGAGACCAAAACAAGCCTGTGAAACCCCACTGTCTCAGTTACTCAAGCTTCCACTCACCTCTGTCTTATCTGGTCCAGCTTCTCAGGGTCTGAGATAACGACCTGGACACCAAGCTTCATTTTTGCTTTCTGCAGGCTGAAGTCAAGGCATGCAATCTTTGCATTAACTATTCTCTTGGTCATACCTGATGGGAGAGAACAAGAGAAAGCATTTTGTCAAATCAAGTTAACAAAACATCAAGTTAGGATTACAGATTAAAACCAATGCTACTTTCACATTTCTGTTCAGTTTGGTTCTCCACCTCCAGTTCTGCCCTAGTACAGAAAAATGCTAACAAAGTCTTTCAAGGAGAGAAATGTTTAATAAATAAATAAATAAATCTCTGCTATAACCTCCATTGCTTTTTTACAGATTCCATCCCCAAAATGTGAATGACCATGAAAAGCTGACCCATCAGTGTCACATCCTTTTGGTTACATAGTCACAGCACAGCTGTGCCAATGTAACAGTTCCCTGCAAACCTGCTGCCTCCTCACAAGGGCGGTGCTTATGTTTCAGAAGATCACAGTGTCACCACGCTGACAGTGAGCTCGGGGAACTAAAGGAACTTTGTGGATGACTGGAAGCTGGCGGACCCTAGCCTAGAAACCACTGGTGAAGTGGCAAGTTCTTTTCGTGTCCTTGTTTAATTGTTCCTGAATTGAAAACCCACGTGATTTGCAACTAATGCAGTAAGAAAATCCACACAGAAAGGCTAAGAGGACAAAGTTCACACAAAAGTTTTACGAAGCATAGCGTGTTCTTACCCTGTGAGCCCACCACGCAGTTCAGAGCGTAACCGTTCACAAGTATGCTCTCTTTTTGGCTGCGGCCATGTGCCTTCAAAACATTAACCGAGTTGATTGGATACCGAGCCTGACCCTTCTGGTCTGTATACTTAACCGCCAGTGCGGCATCCACCACCATATTAGCAAAGAAATCACCATCACTAAATTGCTGTTAAGGTTAAAACTGAAGAAGGGAACTAGTATAATGCTTAAGACAAAAAAAAAAAAAAAAAAAAGAAGTGTCACTGACAGTGCCCGAACTGTAAGTCAAAAACTGTTTCCAAAAAAAGAACTCCAGAGAGGTATAAAGTGCTAGCTTTCTTTACCATTCCCTTAAAGGAATGAGTAATTCTTAAAGCTGAAACACTGCTAAGAAAATTAGGACAGGCTAGGGCAATGCTTGCATTTTACACACCTTTTGTTCCTTAACAAAAAAAACTTATCCTATGGTCAGTGTGCATTCCTTTGTTAGCACAAAGGCTAAAAATGCAGGTTTTTCTGTGACTGGAGTAAAATGCAACCTGCTTTCTTTCCTCTAGTTTCACCCCCCAGGTACTTGATTTCTGTAACACATTCTTCCATGCACACAGTTCCTTATCGAGTGTCACTAACATGTCGTAAGGGAACAGTACACTGTTAAAGCTACTGTGATGTGCCTGATGTGTTTAAATAAATTCAGAGAGTCTGAACAGGTTTTCCCATGCCAGATAATGGTATCTGTGAAATGTTTTTCACACCCCTGTTACAAAAACAGCTTGACTACTATACCCTTCATAAAAACTACTACAAAGGAAACTAGCCTAGCTACTTAAGCTCTCCAATCAACCACTCTCACTTAAATGACTTGACAAAGGATACATTCCTATAATTTTAGAGGACATTGATGTTTTAGCAGCATTAATTAGGCACTCCCTGCCCAATTCATCTGTGTTAATAATAAGATTTTCATTGATGTAGCGAACTGCTTCCCTGTAGAATAAAAACAAATAGTGGTAAAGAATTCCACCCCCACAAAGACAGAAATCTTGCATGTTTTCAGCCCTTTAAAATGTTATCTCAGAGCACAGGGATGAAATCAATTCATTTTCTAGGACAGTAAAGTGACATTTTTATGTGAGACTACAGAAATTATAAACTAAAAAACCCAAAAAAGCCCAAACCAACAAAAAAAGCTCAAAACACACACCCAAACTAAAACGCCATACCCACTCTGCACCAAGAAGTCTGAATTAATGCAGTCACAAATACAGAAATAAACGAAAAGCATGCAGCTATTGTACCTTAAAAAAATGCAATGTACTTCAACTGTATTAGTTTCTTACTTGCAAGCAAGTCGGTATCCACCAATGATGGAGGTAGGATGAATTTTCTGTTTCACTAATTCATCTGCATTTTTTAGAAGTTCTGCAGCAATAATTACCTGTTTGAAATACAAACACTAAATACATGTATCCCATACAAACAAAATCACTACCTGTTGTCACTAAGTGGAAAGTAGAATCACAAATAGTTGTCCAATGTTTACTCAGTGGAGACAGGTACTTGCAAAGTACAATTATAGTTTCTGACATCAGGTAAGAGCCACCTGATTCCATGTGCCCCCCCTCACCCCAGTTGGCAAAAGTCTCAGGCAAGTTTTCAGCACTCAGCATCCTTATTAGTCCTAACACTTTGATTTTTCATGGCTGTTAGAAATTAAGAACCCCAATTCAAAATCTATCCTCAACCTTCAAGACAGGAAAAAATAAATCTTGAAACTGCAGTAAGCGAATTCCATTCCAAGCACCAGCTGTGTATGGAAACCAGCATCTCAAAAACCCACAAGTCTAATTCCTTTATTCTGTAACCTACTTTAAAAAACTGTTTATATTCAGTCAACTGCTAGTTTTTTCATTCTGCATTGTTGATCCACACTGTATCAATATTCGTAACGGATAAATCAAAACCTGCACTGTGATAACGGAACACTGACTTTTGGTGTTATCTGCCTGTAAAATTTTCTACATACCACTGAGGTTGTCCCATCACCAACTTCTTTGTCTTGCAAGTCTGCCAGCTCACAAAGAACTTTTGCAGCCGGGTGTTCCACTTCCAGCAGTTTCAGAATGGTTGCACCATCATTAGTGATGGTCACATCCTAATTTTCAGAAATTAAGTGTTAATATGAGGTACATTTGTATTACATTTTTACTGTTGTATTTCAGAATGTTTATGGAAATGCAAGTTAACTATTCTCTGGCGAATGCCCACAAAATAACTATTTATGCACAAACCCCCTATTTTAGTAACTTTTACACAGGAATGCAAGTCGTCTTTGTATTCAAGACAAAACACTTCTTAATGAAAGCTTACTTACCCCAATATCATCCACCAACATCTTATCCAGACCAACTGGCCCAAGAGAACTCTTCACAATGTTGGCAATAGCAGATGCAGCAGTAACTGAACAAATGAAAGAAAAAAAATTTTATCTTTCCAACTTCAGTCATTCAGGTTTACAAGAAAACGTGCCCAAGAACCTGTGATTCAGAAACTGGAGATAAAGTGGCCTCATTTAGCTAAACTAGTAATGGCTTGCTGCTACTAAAAATTACAATCTGTGCCAAACCTCGCTCTTCCCTCCAAGCTGGTTCAGCTAACTAACCTGGCAGTGCTAACTGATCAGCAAAAGAATAATTTTCTGTGGTTCGGTAAGATGGAGGACACTACTGAGGTCAGAAGAGCAGTGGCAGTAGCTTAGCAGAGCTTGGTAGCACAGTTTCTTTTTGCAGCAGCAAGTCATGCTATGAAAGTTCACCCTCGTTTACTCCTCAGTTCTAGGCAGATACAGAAGAATGGTATCACCATACATCAATTAGTAACATGTCTTTTTGCCCCCCCTTAGGTCTGTGACTGAAATAAAACACCTACTCTGTAACTGTCAAGAAAGTAAAAAGTGACCTCCTAGTCACTACTAAAGCAACATAAAACCTCCAACATAGTGGCTTATCGAAAGGATGTTCTGCCAACTTCATATAGGAAAAAGATACAATCAACCTTTTCCTTCAGACCGTGGCACGTTTTTCTCTCTCCCACAAGCATAGCCACTTAATCTGGAAATTGAAAAAGTGGTAGTATAATGGGAATAGTGACAACCCAGACCTTCGCTGCGAGTTTCAAACAAAAGAACTCTTCTTTTGTTTTGTTTTGGAGGACTAATGGCAGCTTTCTGAAAGAAACAACCGTTGCATCGTCAAAGTCGCCATTATCGAGTATCTCAGCCATAGAATACGGTAATTCTCATTCTAACTGTTCTGCCTGAAGTACCATCGGACCTGCATGACTCTCGCGATCATCAGGAAGCAGGTCTTCAGCGTCTTCCTTTGTCCATTACCTACTCCGAAATCGAGAACAGCCTCGGAATTTGCAGCCTTTTCCCCAGACTTGGAATAAAACCCTGAGAAGCGTGGAACGTTTTCAATAACTACAGTTAACGCCACTCACCGCGAGGGCGGTCCCCGCTTTCGGAAGCAGGTTATCTCCCCGTGCTGGGGAGCAGTAAGCGCCCCCAGCCGCCCCTTCCCCACGAAGGGCCCTCGGCCCGTCTGCAGGCCTCGCCGCCTCACACCCTACGAGCTCGGGGTAGCACCGAGCCCTCCTCCGGTCAGCACCCACCCCCCTCCCGGGGTGTGCTTCTACCACGGAAGGAGGAGGGACGCGGGCTCGCTTCGCCACCGAGACGCTTGGGAGCGGTGC